ATCTATCTATCTATCCATCCATCCATCCATCCATCCATCCATCCATCCATCCATCCATCCATCCATCCATCCATCCATTCATTTGGTGAAAGAAATGCCAAGCCGCAAAAGTTTTTTGACAATTCCTGCACAGGATGGCATCTGTGTCCTGTGCAGGATTCACCTGTCAAAGGGCCTAAGGTGGTGCAGGATTTGGCCGTCTGATGTGCAAAACAAGCCAAAAAAGAAAAAGAAGAAGAAAGTCAAAAAGGGTGGGTTAGGAATGAGACTACATATGGGCATGAATTAAATACCCTGTTTCCCCGAAAATAAAACCTAACCTGAAAATAAGCCCTTGTACGCTTTTTCAGGATGGTCGTCATATAAGCCCTACCCCAAAAACAAGCCCTCATTCAGTGAAACCCCGCCCTCCACCCATGTGCAGCAACCAGAAGAAAATGACACGATGGTCTTTGAATAAATGCAGATGAAAAAAAACCATCCCCTGAAAATAAGCCCTAATGTGTTTTTTGAAGCAAAAATTCATATAAGACCGTGTCTTATTTTTGGGGAAACATGGTATGAATCACCAAATTCTTTCAAAATATGTTGATTGATACTGATATGAATTAATGCCCCCAATAAATACGAATCAAATCGAATTTTTAACAAAATTTTGATTTGTCAATTTGTTGGGCTATAGAAACCATAATTGTAGTCCAAGAGGGACCCAAGTTTGGGAACTATTGTTTTAAGTAAATCAAGGAAGAACGTTATTGGTCCAGCTCCTTTCTCTCTCAAAAGAGAAGAGAGGGCCGGCACCCGGCATCTCCTCACCTCCTGAAAGGTCATGGTGAGCTCCTCCTGAGGGATTTGAAGAATCCACTGGTACAGCTGCCCCACCGAACTGACCCGCTGGGCAGATTCGTTCAAACGACCACAACTGGAGCCTGTATCAGGAGCCGTGGGGAGAGACGTTGTTGGGAGAGATGTGTGGGATAAATTTTCTGGAATGGAAAGAAAGATTTTTGACCAGAGAACTTTCAAGACCCTGAAATCTGCTCCAAGGCGACCCATATAACATTGCAGACACCTTTAAGCACTCACTTACTTTTATCCCGAGCAATGAGTGGCAGGGCAGTTTTAGGAAATCAACATACCTTGGGCGAATGTGTTGTCATTGTCTTCCGTGAAGCTGCGCTTCTCTCGCTGGGGATGGGTCCCTTTTGCCAATGAGCCTTTGGGTGATACGGAACAAAACAGGAAAGGTTAGGAGGAGGTAAGGGGAAATCTGAGGGAGACTAGGAGAAAGGTGGCTCGGCTTTGTTCCCAAGCCTCTGTCTATTTCACTCGGCCCAAGCTTCTTCTTCTCAGGCCTTTGCCACTAAATCCTTCTTACGATGTGAGTAAGAAGTTGTGCCACTAAATTCAAAATCTGATGATTGGTGCTAGCTTAGACTATTTCTTTTTAAAAACAGAGAATAAGACCTATTTATGCAGAACAGGCACAGAGAAAACCCACTTACAGTGATTTAAATTATCGGTTCATATAGGTCAATATTAGAGATGGGCACAAACCGGTTCGTCCTGGTTCGACAAGGCGGTAGCACAAGTGCTGCTGCTTCCCTTCCCCGCCTCCTCTGACTCAATCAGCCCCTCACCAGCCCCATCATGGTAGCTTTTTCCACCTCCTCCACTGATCTTCCAGTCCCGGCAAGAGCTCAGGCTTCTCTGCC